CATTCTTCAACCTATCGTGACCCAGTAAGCGTGCTCTCATCATAACAATATCTTTATCACGACCCATTTTGAAGGCCAGGATAAATATCACACAACTGGTCAAGCGAAACACATTACACAATAAAATGTGCAGTGTCTTCAAGGCAAAACATGGTGAAAAGCTTGTCCTGAAGGCTGGAGGAGGTCCATTAGTCCAAAACATATTGGGACCTGAGTGGTTGGATCAATAATTCCTGAAATGGAAGACTGGATTCAATTCTTTTCTTGACCTAAAGAAGTTTGAAACCACAACTCCTTCAAAAGAAAAAGTGGTATTCTGTAGGTTCTGTACCACTGAGCAACAAGCAGCGCAAGACAACTGACTGAGGACAGAAAAGGAACGGAATTTACTAGTGAATAGGGAGTCATAAGTCCTGCTCTCAGGATTGCTTGTTCCAGTCATTGTAAAATGTATAAAGAATCCTGGAGGGGATCAACAGGTTGGTGCCTAAGGCCTTTTATTTGAGAGACTGCAAGTGTGATGTTAAAACTCTCCCTTATGCCATCAAGAGAACTGAACCCATATTTCCACTTGCCAGATGGTCTTTCACTGACAAGTTACTACATCAAAAAGCGGGCATCCCCACTACCCTTATGCCAAACAAAAATAGGGAGCCCTGCTCTTTTAAAGAACAGAGGTTAGCACTCAGATTCAGGAAAGAATTACAGACTGTGGATCCTAAATTGATGGACATTCCTTTCTGCAGTCCTGAATCTATCTAAACCTTATCTAGCCAGAGTAGTGCCATTGTTAATTTGACCCTCTTTAATAGAACCAGTTGTTAAAAAACACTTCCAACACCTGCTTCCTGCAGCTTTCTCATCCATGTGCCCATGCTAGGCTCATGAGCCAGCTCCTGCTGTTCCTATCTCCATCTGATCAGGTTTTGATCCACAAGTTACTACTACTCCCCATTGAAGTTCCCCAATCTTGGCCTGCTAATTTTCTGAAGAACAGCACGATGCAAAGGCAGGGAAAAAATATCTCCTGGAAGCCAGCTCCTTTGGAGACTCTCTCTAGGGGTCACAAAGTGTCATGACTTGGGTTTTGGAATCTATCCTGATCATCTGGACTACAGGCAAAGTTGAAAAGCCTGCACTGGTCTCTGGAATCAGAATTTGTTCAGGAAATGGCATTACCAACGGCGTCCTGTCTTCTGCACCTGTTTAGAGCAGTTGTTGGCAAGTTGGCACAGTCAGGATCACTGTTAGGGAAGGAGCTGCTTGTCTGAAGCTGAAGCAAGCGCTAGCTTGTAGAGGGACACCTAGTGCAGTTCTCACCCATATGATGTCCCTGGCACGTGCAGCAGCAATGAATGTGAGCTGAATGAATGCAGTTAACAGGGGACGCCCTACTGCCCTACTGAGATGATTTATGGAAGCTTCCCAGTGAGCTGAAATCTAGAGTCAAAAAAAGTTGTAAGAATCTTTACCTTTTCTAATATAGATCCAAGAATCTGTTTCTCACTCTCCATATCTATACACGTCTCCACTTATTTCTTTCTCCTTGTATCTCCATGCTCTTATACATAAATACTCATTCCCTTTCCTCAATCCTGACTCTATCCTTTCACTTCTTTCATGACCGCGCTTGTTTGTCCTGCCCTGAGGACGGTTTGGCAGCATTCACCTTTGCACACATTTTCAGAGCTAAACATATCTCTTTATTTAGTGCTTCTTCCTGGTTACTCTTGGACAGGCCCCCTACAGCATGTGTGGGTTTTCAGATCACCTATACATTGTACAGGTCTCTACATACCCAAGGGAAGGCAGCACTTCCCCAAAACTGAGAGACACCACCTCAAAACTGGGAGCAACTTTCTGTTTGGCTATTAGGCAGCCAGGAGAACAGACTGAGAGACCTTAAAATACCTTAAAACCATGAAATGGATCTTTTAGATGAGACAAGATAATCACAAATTACAGTAGAAAGTCCTTTACACATAGACCTGTATAGTTGGGCCTACACTAGGAGAAAACGTGCTCTGCCTTGCATCTTGACTTCATATTGGAAGTGTGCACCATCACCCTGCTCTAGTTTATTTGAAAGGAAAGCTGGATGCACTATTGGGAAGCAGCCAAAACATGCTTTAAATGGTCCCAGTCTGGATAATTACAAGAACAGAACTAGGAAGTTCCTCAGGGCAGGTATCTGTCATGCAATGTATTGATGAGCTATGGTGCTACAGACTCTATCCTATATATCTTGAAGTTAAGTGACTCTTAACTCCAAGATATACTCTACTATATCAAATCATTCCATCAAAAGAATATTGCAACCTACTAAAATGTAATGAAGTCCTCCATTATGATTTGTCTGTATGTGCCTTTAGATTCCTCCCTGGAAAGGTGATGGAACAACTCCTCCTGGAGGTCATCACTAAGCATCTGGAGGACAAGAAGGTGATCAGGAGTAGTCAGCATGGATTCACCAAAGGGAAATCATGCTTGACCAATCTGATAGCCTTCTATGACGGAATGACTGGCTGGGTAGATGAGGGCAGAGCAGTGGATGTTGTCTACCTGGACTACAGCAAGGCTTTTGACATTGTCTCCCATCACATCCTCACAGGTAAACTCAGGAAGTGTGGGTTGGATGAGTGGACGGTGAGGTGGCTTGAGAACTGGCTGCATGGCAGAGCGCAGAGGGTTGTGGTCTGTGGTGCAGAGTCAAGATGGAGGCCTGGAGCTAGCGGTGTCCCCCAGGGGTCAGTCCTGGGTCCAGTCTTGTTCAATATATTCATCAATGACCTGGATGAAGGGACAGAGTCCACCCTCAGCAAGTTTGCTGATGATACTAAACCAGGGGGAGAGGCTAACACACCAGAAGACTCTGCTGCCATTCAGAGGGACCTGGACAGGCTGGAGAGGTGGGCGGAGAGGAACCTCATGAAGTTCAACAAAGGCAAGTGCA